CCGACCGCATCCACGTGGTGCACAATGGGTAACGCTAATGCCGGCGGTAAACATCATTTTTCAAGAAAATGCATGGTTCGCTTCAAAGTCATGTAACTCGGTCAAGAAAAATCGTAGGAAAATTTTAAAAAAAGCATTTTGTAGGTAAAATGTCGTAGATTGTGGAACTTGTATCAAATTTGTCGAGAGAAATTTTTTTATCGAGCTACAGTGTGTCAAAAATACGTAATTTTAAGGAACAAAACAATGTATTCTATTTTAAAGCACAGAACGAGGAAGATCAATATATCGAAATATATCATTGACAGAGTTTTAAAGTTGAAACTTCAAGCTTTAAAATGCTTTTTTAATTTTGTGTCTACGATTATTTTTCGCCGAGTTTCAGTGGTTTGAAAATAGCCCAATTTTTAGGGTATGAAAAGTGTTCCCTATTTTTTTTTTTGAGTAGTGTATATGACCAAATCCTTTACAATATCCGTTATAATGTCTGTCTTAACAGTATAACCATTACGGTCCTACTTATATAAAGGATTTTATATAATCAATAAAGTGTCATATTAAGAATTCCACCAGTCATGCCTAAATCAAACGGACATATGAGAAATCCGTTTTAATATTGAATATCCGTTATAAAATATAACGGAAATATAATTGTCCTTTATATCTAAAACGGATATGTTTTGCAGTGTGCTTAACCTTTAACTTCTGTCATTCCCCTACTCTTCTGTTACCCCCATCACTTCTACTAGACAAAGATAAGGTACGGCCCCACACCAGCTATCTCGTTCTAAAGTTTGTATACACGTTTTCGCACGGGTGAGGTAGGGAAAGCGCAGTCTATTCTTACTATGTCTATGGACGGAATATGATACACTCCTCCGTGTCGCGTACATGCCCGCGCAAGGAACTCACGTGCAGGATCCGCTTTGTTGGAGGCCAGATATAGGCTCTGCCAGAAGTTGCGCCACTTCCTGTCCTACCATTACGTGTGGCCTGTCCTGTGTGCACAGCACGCCGACACTCGCGCGCCTCGGGTCGCACCGCCATAGGTAGATACTTGGTGTCGCGCTGTTGCACGCGATGCATCCGATCGTTTCTGAAACAATACGCTGCCATTCGGGCAGAGGCACGCGCGCGTATAGTTTACCCTAGATCGCTGCACTTATTTCGTATTCGCTTTGCTTACGTACCGTCCTTCGTGGACGAACAACATCGCGTGAGATGTACCTTCGATACGTCGCGGTTATTTTCGGGAAATCTCATTTCTTCCGATGGACACTCAAGTTTTATTAGCTCGACGATTAGTACTTTTTATCTTTAGAATCATTCTACATTCTCGTAATTGGAATCTCTATAAAAATAATGATATCGTCAAATTGCGCCAACTAAAATGGGTATTTATACAAATTAGATACCTTTATATCCAAACAATCGAGCATAAGATTTTACCGAAAGAAATAAAGGAGACAATAGTATTAATGAGACAAATTTTTAATACTTATTCAATAAAAATGCAATGCAAATAACTTGAATATTCACCGAGAAAAATTTTCACCTAAATAGTGTGTCCGATGATTTTTCCAATTACGTTTTCCGATTAAATTATGGATACATCCGACGAAATGCAGTTACCGATGAAATTTGATTGAAAACCCGATGACATTTTTCCTCGGATATACAATTTAATCGGATATATCTGTTTGTTATTGTGTAATTGGATTATCCGATTATATTTAATCGGACATTTTTCCCAGTGTTCTACTTCGAATTTAGTAAAACGTTCTAAGGCTTGTAGGGCAAATTTTGATCTTGCAATAAGGAAGACTGAAAATATCTTTGAGTTGAGGATACTTGTATGTTCGGTGCTGAAGAAATGATTGCTGTGATAAAATCGAGGGGTAAACCGCTGAGGGCATTGTGGTGTACAGATTTGCGGCATTACTGGGCATTACTAGGCATTTTTTGGGCATTAGTTTGAACATTAGGCCTTGTTGGGGCATTATAAAGGTAAAATAATATAATAAGATAAAGTAATGCCCACTGGGCATTAGTGGGCATTGGTGTGCAAGAATTTGGTCAGCGGTTTCCCCCTCGGATAAAACCGATATAAATGGATATTGTGAATTGATATCGGTATTCATTTAACGACTCGTTGGCATCGCTACCTTGTTCTCGTTTATTTACAGAACAAATAGGATGTGGCAGTTGAAAGAAAATCGACGTGCAAAAATTAATTACTCAGATACCGGTGTTCCGCGAAAGATTCATGTTCTCATGCGAGGCACCGCACGGTCACCTTATCACAAACGGCTTTGCTACGTGACGTGCTGCTCGCTCCGGCTTATCGCACATCCAGCAAGCAGAAAATTCATTTGCACGGTCGGTCGTAATTATTATGTAATCGACGTCAGTGTCGCTGGAGCGGCCGGGCGGTGGGAAGGCGGGCGCCGGACACGAATCGATTTCCAATAAATCAGGGAGAGGCCATCGGGTGCTTTTAGTATGCGCATATTAAACGCGACGCAGCACGCGCGTCTATCCTTTCCTTAAGTCGCAAGGCACGCGCCTTGAACTTATCGAAAATTTATTCCACCGTCCGTCGTTTCTCTTCGCGCGCGTTTGCGTTTTCTAATTAGATCCAACGTCATGCCAGGATAATTTCGTGCTCCGCGACCTCTCTCTTTCTCTCTCTCTCTCTCTCGCGAGAGCACGCATTCGCTGAGCATACGAACACGCGAGTAAATACGTCGTGCGTGTCAGCGACTTGACCGGAGACCAGATAGAGACACGTGTACGCACTTGCTACTGACGTGTTAACGCGATTTGAGACCTCGCGCAATTTGTCGCGGAGTGTCTCGCACGGATTGTCGGCATCTGGAGCCGTGCGATTTAGTGCTGAAACCAAGAAAGAGAGAGAGAGAGAGAGAGCGAGATATGCATCTAAGCCTCACTGGTGCATATATCGCGATAATAAGATAGCGTCAAATAGGACAAAAGTAGAAAGGATGAGGCGTGCGAAAATAGAAAATAGAAAGTAGTTTTATAATATCATTCTCTATCGTGAGTGAGCGTTTTTAATTTGCAATTTTCTAAACTCTCTTGCTGGTCTAACAGTAAATACGTTGTCCCCCCCCCCCCCCACGTTTCAGAACGTTAACATTGTGAGAATATTTTAAAAGTATTAAATATCGACTACGACAAATTAATATTCGACTATAAACGTGCGGACAATCAAGTAAATTAAATCAAACGATGGAAAATATAACAAAGACGTTGAAGAAAGAACTCACGAGTAATGCGTTTCGCGCGTGTCTCGGCGCGAATATACGGCCGGATAAGTCGCTTATCTCTTTGCTACTTTCATCGCGCGGTGGCCTTTTAGGTGCCGGTGTCACTGACCAGGGCAACACGGTTATTATCAGACCCTGCGTTTCCCCGTACATACGTGCGTGCGTGGGATCATTTATTTGCGGCACAAACGCGCTACCAAATCGTCACGCGTCTCCATCCAATGCACGCGGGATAATGCATTTGCATAAGCAGGTTGCGCAGCGTGAACCTGCGTCTGTAGCGGACAATGTATCAATTATATATTCTCGAGCCGTTCGACTGTGATACCGCTTTAATCGCATTGCGAATCGCATATATTTCCTACTGATACTATATTCCGGAATATTCTAATAGCGCAACTCTGCAGTGTTCGCAAAAATCGCAACATGGGACTGACTTTTTAAAGGAGTACCGATCGTCGTGCACCGCGAAATGTGTTGCCTATAATTCTAAATTGAAGACTTTCCAGCGATGAAAACGAAATTGCACAGTAAAAATAAATTGCTTTCGTTTCACGAATCATTGCTATTGTGCTGCGACAACGTACCTACACTGAGAAAAATTTCCATCGGATAAAGCAATTAAATAGTGTTTCCGACGGAGTGGCGATCGTGACGCAGAGGATTGTGCGCTGGTCTGGTAATCCGAAGACCCGGGTTCAAAACCAAACAAAAACATTGTTGGTTTTTCGTTCGGTCGCCACATAGCGAAGTGGATATAGAGAGAGTGTTATAAAGAGGTTTGGGCACGTTCCTTCAAAAACGCCTTGTAACCCTAAGGGGAATCAATAAAATGTACTAGTACTAGTGTTTCCGACGGTTCAATTTTCTGATTACGTTTTCCGATTAAATTACGGATACATGCGATGAAATTTGATTGAAAAACCGATCGCATTTTTCATTGCTTTGTGCTCTGACCCTTAATCGGACATACGTTCGTTATTATGTAATTGGATTATCCGAGTATATTTAATCGGACATTTTTCTCAGCGTAAGGTTGCATAATGACGCGTTATATTTTGACGAGGTTCTCGTCCTTTCTTTCACTCGCCCCTCACGATACGGAGCTTGCCCGAAGAGAATCGTTTAATCGCGAGCATTTTATCTATCATCTGGTGACTTCTTCTTATAAGTTGCGCGCCACAAGAACGTGTATGTGTTCACGGTTTGGTATGCGACAAGCAGAGAGCGCCTTTCAGAACGTTGGCGCCGATACCAAACCGGTAGAAACAGGTAGTCCATCTACGTCGTGGTGCTGCGTGACGACTGTTGCACGACATGTTCTGCGCTACGCACCGCGATTTTATGAGATCAATCGATTCGTCGAATTGATACTTAACGTGCGATACAGGATGTTTCAGGTTTACGCGCGATACTTTAAAGATACACTTCCAGAAATGTCGAAGACATTCTTTCCTAATTTTACTTTGCACTGGGATACAAGTATGCACGGAAAGACCGGCTAAGGCAAAAATAACTAAAATTAAAATGTTGCCGTAAAAATAGTAGGGACATCTATATTGTTTTGTATTGCAACGTTTATTAAGTTTGCTGCACAAAACGCATATAGTTGTCTACACTACTTATCCATTGTTGAGTTGTGTGTGGTTGTAACAACCATATTTATAGTTTTTGCTGAAGTGCGAGTTGTTGCCACACCACCGCACCAGTGCTGGTAACATTTTCATGCACTCTAACCTAACCAACCTGCACCGACTTGTATAGCGCGACTCGGCACGCAGTAAGGCTAATGTTATCAATACGCATTTGAAGGCTAATACTATCAATACGCAGTGTTTTTGAGCCTGATTAACCATACCACACAAAGTTTCACCATAGTTCATTTCTGCAAGAAAGCAACTACAATTTATACCATGACTACATCAATGTGGGTATGACAACTACGGATATAGCTGTTCCAAATATTACTATTTATTGGGGTTGTGCCAACCCTAATTAGACATGTGGTAACCATATCGGTCTCTCCGTGTGGCGACATCTTATACCGTAAAGTAAATGCATTTCTTCCGAATTAAACAGAACATGAATAGGTATCGAACATTGATCTTTGGACAATTGCACACGGAGAGACCGATATGGTTACCACATGTCTAATTAGGATCGGCACAACCCTAACAAATAGTAATATTTTGGACAGCTATATCTGTGGTTGTCATACCCACATTGGTATGACGAGTAGTGGAGACAACTATGTGCGTTTTGTGCAGCAAACTTAGTGAATGTTGCGACACAAAATAATGTAGATGCCCCTACTATTTATACGGCAACATTATAATTTTACAACATCAATGATTTTTATTGACCGTATCTGGCAATTAAAATTTTTATTGCGAAAAATATTACCCCAACCAGGATTCGAACCTGCACGGAAAGAACAATGTAGCTGCTGTAGCTAAAACTTAGCAAAATAGGGACAGCTAATATTTTTAGTTGTGATAGCTCAGTATTTTGCTACGACAGCAAACCGTTTGCTGTAATACAATAGGCACAGTAGCAAAATATTGAGCTATCACAACTAAAATATTAGCTGTCCCTATTTTGCTAAGTTTTAGCTACAGCAGCTACATTGTTTTTTCCGTGATGGGACCTCCCTCAATCCGTGACGGGCGTCTTCGGATTGAGGGAGGTCCCAGATTCGAATCCTGGTTGGGGTAATATTTTTCGCAATAAGAATTTTAATTGCCAGATACGGTCAATAAAAATCATTGATGTTGTTAATTACTGCTGACGACTTTTAAGAGTATTCTTAATAGATTATAATTTTAGTTAGTTTTTCCTCAGCCGGTCTTTCCGTGCAGATGCACGCAATTTGCGTGTTGAGAAACTCGCTCGGAAAATTGGCTTGGAAACTGAAAGAATAGCAAGAAGTGGTTTCCACCTATTGTTTTATTATTACAAATATATACACGTTTTTCCTCTTATCTAATACTGTACTCGCAATAGCGTTTCGCCTGTCTTTGCGAGCAAAGTGCGCGCCGTATTCACATAGATACAGATTGCGAATCGTGCGAGGGGTAAGTTCAACGAGCGATGAGTTATACGATCGACATTGCCGGCCGATAGTGGTAACAATAAGTATTCCGCGCGTGGTGGTGCGACGGTTTCGACACGGTTCTCTCGTTGGTATGCGAGCTCGTTAAATATGTTGAACCGTAGCCGAAGGGTACCGTCGATACGAGGTCAATAGCACCGTGCCGATAACGAAGTGCGAGGACCCGAGACTCGTTTCTCTCCTCTCGCGTGATTGTGTCTCCGGCTCCGAGATGCACTTCACCTATTTCAGAACACGTCTGTTGCGCGGCGCGGATGCGCTTTATCTTCGCGCAGGTCGCGTCCACGATGGCTTTGATATCGTTGGACTATAAAAGCCGGCCGAGTCGCGCATCTTTTCGCAGTCGTCATTTGAGAGCTCGAAAGCAAAAGTCGCCTCTCGTTTATCGGTCTTCTCATTTTGATATACGAGGTCTGTCCTGAAAATACGTATAAAATATTCATAGCGTCTGATACTGGAGGTGGAGAGATGAGATAGTGGACTTCCCCCTCCACACAGAGAGAAAAGTACGTAGTATTTGCGACTATAATTGCATAGTAAAATAATTATAGTCGGGAATATCATTTTTATAGTAATTATCACTATAATATTAGTAATAACAACCACATAGTCATAGTGATGCCAACCAGCATAAAAATTTTACTATTATTTATGAAGCTTTTAACCATTATTCTGGTAAAATATTAAGATGGTGAATAGTAACTAAATTAACTAGTTTTATATAGTAGGTGCAAGTACAATAATAGTAAATTTAACTATACTTTTTATCATCCACTTTACTATTCGCATGGTAAACAAAAGTGAAGTGGTTCGGAATGTCTTCGCTAGAGGAACGTGCGGTACAAGACTCTGGCGACTAGCGAGTTGCCCATCTATACCACGACCATAGACATATAAAAGATAGACTGCTTATGAGGCAGTGGAACCCTAGGTGGGGGCATCCTCCTGAGGGAAAAGGACAACATGAACTTATTTGGGTATCTGTCTTCCTCTAGTGGACGTGATCTGAAGGTGATCACGTGATCACGCCCACGTGATCACGTACACTAGAAAAAGATAGATACCCAAATAAATTGGTGTTGTCCTTTTCCCTCAGGAGGACATCCCCCACTACCTCATAAGCAGTCTATCTTTTATATGTCTATGACCACGACTCAGTTCATGGTCGTTGGTGGCGTTGTCCGAGCGGGACAGAATCATGGACCTAAGAATCTCTGGACCGAGCATACAGCGAGGGGGCTGTTAAATTCGCGGTAAGGGGAGGATAGTACTGTCTCTTTCTACAAGAGGTCACCGTCGGGTATTTCCGCCGTATATCCGATGATTCCCGAAAGACTAGACAAGTCTATACTCGCTAACTTCTGAAGTCCAGAGATTCTTACGTCCATGTTCTCGTCGAGAAATTATTATGTATAGACTATACACAAACTTCGACTATCTTCGGTTACATTCGTCATCAAGCCGAATGTGACCTCTTGTAGAATGAGATACCAAGAGGACAGAAAAGGAGAGCACTCTCGTCCCCCTTACCGCAAATTTAACAGCCCCCTTGCCCGTCCTCCCACTTCGTGCTCGGTCCAGAGATTCTTAGGTCCATGGACAGAATAAGGGTGGAGTCCCATGGAGCGTATCGCGCGTATCGCGGATTGCGCGTATCGAGAATCTGACCAATCGTCGACGTTCCGCTGTTTTCGGTACGTTGTCGTTCCGCGGAATTAATTATTTTAGCGTAATACGCCAGTCTCTACGGCGGAATCTAGATTTGCGTTTTCTTTTTGTAAGAGTATGAGTGAAATGGATAAGTTACTATTACATATAGTTATTCGAAATTTTACTTGTGGTTGTTATTGCAATATTCATAGTACACCTTACCAAATTAAAAGCTCGTTTTGGTTTATGACAACCATATCATAAGTTGCATGGACCAATATTGTGTCTATGAGAACTATAATACATTGTTAGGTCAACCATAACTTACGTAGTTGGAAGAATTATAAAAATATGGTTGGGTTCAAAAATGACTATAAATTATAGTGAGATTGTGGTAACTACAACTATTTTTTCTCTCTGTGCACTAACAGACTAAGTAAACATCTGACAGACGGCAGCCTTGCAGATTTCAACACGCATTGTGTACAGCGAATTAGGCAGACCCCTTACGCAGTGTCTCGTCGGTATGGCGCTCTCTCTGAATGAGCAACGCAAAATCGTTGAATGTCTTGCTACACTCGACAGTTTCAACGGCTCGAAAATTCACAAAGCGTTGGAAGCAATGTACGACGAAGATGCCATAGCGAAATCAACGGTTTATAAGTGGTTGAAGGAGTTTAAAGAAGAATCGGAAGAATCCACAGACGATTCCGCTTCCGTTGTTACCGAAAATTTAAAGATGACGAAGTTGTGTACAAAGATCGTTCCGTTTTTGTCCCCTGACCAAAAGGCTTGGAGGGTCTATTGCTGCCAGGATTGGATTGCATCTAAAGATTTTACTGATAGGGTGATTACAGGAGATGAATCATGGGTTTACGAATCCCAGTCCAGATCGAACGGCGTGATAATGCTAATCGTTTTCTTCGATTCACGGGGCATAGTGCATCACGAATTTGTTCCTCCAGGAAAGAGAGTGAACGGAAATTTTTACGTCGAGGTCCTCAAGCGCCTCCAAGCGCGCGTGGCTCATGACCGCCCAAACTTGGCAGGAGATTGGATTCTTCACCACGACAATGCGCCTCACCACACGTCCTTGGTTGTGCGCGAGTATTTGGCACGGGCCTTAATTACCGTCACCGACCACCCGCCACATTCACCCGATTTGGCACCGTGTGACTTTTTCTTGTTCCCCAAATGGAAAAAGTTGCTTCAGGAGCGGCATTTGTCGGACGTGAAGGCCAAGAAAACAGCGACGACGAGGCTACTGAAGAGCCTCAAAGAGGAGGACTTCGAAAACTGTTTTCAGGAGTGGAAACAGCGTTGGAAGAAGTGCGTTGAATCCGGGGGAAAGTATGTACATTTGTGCGAATTAATGTGAACACAGCGAAATTTCAACTCAAGAAGTTCACCGAGTTTAATATTGAGTCCCGATTATTTGAATAATTATTAAGTTAAAAACGTTAATGCTTCATTAACGGTATATTTCTTATGAAAACAGCAGATTGGTCAGAGATCTAAAGTATAGATACGAACTTTACACGCTACAATCTTCATGCGCTATATTTTCTAATTTTAGATTAAAAACCGAGTTAAAAATAATAACAGCCTACTGCAATTATTCAGCACTATTTTCCCGGTCTCTCAAACAATTCTTGCGCTGACATAAACACGAGAATATGTTTTTAATCTTGCTCACCTACAGTATTATGCGAATTAATGTGAACACAGAGATTTTTTTATCAAAATTTTGTGTTGGGTTATTGTGTTGTTTAATAACCACTTGTAATAGACCCTAAATAACATGTTCTTTTAAATAAACGATATTTGATTAAAAAATCTTTGTGTTCACATTAATTCGCACAATACTGTATTTTGAGGGGGACAAAATAGATTTACTTGGTTGATTGTCAAATAAAATTATAAAAAAACATTTATACGTATTTTTGAGACAAACCTCGTACACCTCTTTGAGAGAAAAAAAGTTATTGAAATGACTAAACACATTTAGAGTCGGCAGTATTTCTTCAGTTCAAATATAATATATCTTGTTTTCAAATTAATTTAAACGTACAGTGATTCATTGAAACATATATTTTAATAAATTGACGAATTTTACGAATTGATAAATATTTGCTTGGCAGCCCGCGATCGCCGCATAGAATCAATATTTCTTGATTCAACACTTTTTCTCAGCGCAGTATGCGGTTCTTCAAATATAGCTACAATATTTACGAAGATTGAAAACCTTTTGAGAAACTGCGAGTCTTCATTTTAACAGGTGGACCATTAGAAACATTTCCGCTGGCACTTGCGATACATTTACGTTTAATATTTTCGATGTTCCTCTCTCGTTAATCTCAATTCTTCGGAAGCCGCTCGCATTTTGGCAGTCATAAATTGTGTAAATGTTTTTCGCGACAATTCGCGAAATTGTAAGGTTCCTTTGTTCGTGGTCCATAGGATGAAGAGGGAGGCTGAAGAGGAGGCAACAAGAGAAGCCAGCAGCACGCTGCGGCAGCTTGCGTTCAGGAGAAGTACCAGAGAATTATGTCCTTATTGTATGTTAATAGGATCCCATCGCACGAGTCTCCCGTAAAAATAGCACGCGGAGCCTCGGCGCCGACTTTTTCCCCCCTTTTGATCGGTATTTTCTAGTTTGTGGAACTCGTATCTTAGACGGTCAGCCACGACCCAAAGACGCTTTGTAGTCCACCGGTGCTCTTATTATGCATCATTGTAAAAGCCCGTGATCTAAATCCGGACCGAGAGAGTGTCCTGATTTCCTGGAACCGAGTATATTATTAGGTCGAACGTTTATCGCGCTACCGTCCCAGTTGTTACGCTGGTAGAAATTAATTTTTGTACTTCTTCAAGATCGACGACGCTTGAATAACGAGATGTACGTTCTAAACATTGAATTTTCCAACGTAGAAAATTGCTAGACGACGCTTGGCTGGCGAATTCTAATTAAAGGAATTTATTGCGAAAAATACTATCTCTGCCTGGATTTGAATCTGGACTTCCCTGCACTCTGGGCGGGCGTCTCCGTGGGGGAAGTCCAGATTCAAACCCAGGCAGAGATAGTATTTTTCGCAATAAATTCCTTTAATTAGAATTCGCCAGCCAAGCGCCGTCTAGCAATTTTCTGCGTCGATTAGTCACGTACTGGCGTCAAACAACTCTCTAAGTTATTGAATTTTCCATTGACTATTCTCTCGAGTGTGCACATTTCGATTTTCCTCTCGACATTCCTCTCCGTACACGTGTTCTTGACAGTGACATTGTCTCGTGTTATTCAACGCTAAACGCAGCTGTACGATTCCGAGAGGTCTGCGCTCTTAATATGCGGGAATTGCGTTCAATGCCAACGTGAGATCAGAGTCGAGCGGCCGCATATAGTTGGGAACGCGTGACGGGAATACGGTACTTGGCGCGCGGCGCTCACGCGTGCAATGGGGGACCGTCTCTCGTACATAAGTTTCGCGAGCGTAAGATAGCGGGCGGTTTTTAGAAGCGCGCGGTGCGGCCGAATATTGTCTCCTATTTCGAGCGGGGACGCGCAACGTCGGGCGTACACCTCGGCGTACGCGTCAGCGCCGCCTTTAACGAGGCGTAATGCGCTGTAACGTATGACAGTTTGCATGTAAATCCCGCCGTGACGCGAAAACACTCTCGTACGCCGGGGCTTGTTCGCGGCGTACGCGGCCGCGACGTAAGCCGTAAGTCATACGTTTATGTCCTCGAGGACCGCTCTTTTCGGCGGCGTGCCGCTGCGTCCGACACATGTTCGCACTTGTACCCTCTTCGCCTTTCTCGTTACTCCTCAACGACCATCTTGAGCGCGGATCCTCGGGGCGTGTTACGACTCGGGGCGCCCTCGGGCGCGCCGAATCTTTCTTCTGGCAACAACGGCTACCCCCCTCCTAACGTGGACAATTACGCTAAGAACTTCACCAAACTGACCGCCAAATTACACGGTTCCGCCCGATTCGACGGACGATCCTTTTTAACGTTTGGAAAGTTCGCCATTAAAAACGTTAACCGGATTCGTTTCCCGCCCCCCCCCCCCTCGCTCGAGAAATCGGCATTTCCGCCGTGTTTCTTCGTCGCAGCCTCGACTAACCGGCACAGTTTCACCCTCGAGGAGGCACTGTCGGTCTTCGAAAGTGGGCGTGTCGAAAAACGCGCTCTCGATTTTTGGTTTCCACGCTCGGGTTTTACGAGCCGCTCGTAAACGCAGCAGCACCGCGTTTGCTTCTCGTCTTCTGCCTCGTCTTTTGCGGCATCGCGCGCCTCGCGCGTATTACATTTCTTGTTAACGCTCGTCGTAACTTTATCGTCGGGTGCCTTGTCACGTGAACGAGACTTGTTTATTGCGCGGCGAAGTGCGAAATAATATTTGAAAGTCTTTTGGCGACTGACGCTGACTGTCCCGTATCATTCTTTTTTTTTATACACTTTGAGCGAGAGGGAAACCGCATTGTGGTGTACAGATTTGCGGCATTACTAGGGCATTTTTTGGGCATTACGTCTTGCTCATTATAAAGATAAAATAAGATAAAATAAGATACAATAAGATAAAATAAGATAAAACAAGATAAATGAAATAAAAGAAGATAATAAGATAAAGTAATGCCCACTGGGCATTAGTGGGCATTGGTGTACAAGATTTTGGTCAGCGGTTTCCCCCTCGACTTTGAGGGATAAAATAAGTGCGCTTGTGCATCTTGAAAAGAAAAGGATCGACTTGCAAATGACGTCGAAAAATTGTACTTTGACAAACATAAGGTTTCCCCACGTCAAAATGTTTTAACTTGATAATGTCGCCATTGTACGATTGTATCTTGTTACCGCGTGTGTACACTGATAAAAAAATATCTTATTCCAACACAATTACTTTACCCAAGAAAATTATTCATTAGGTGGCTCCTAATAGCTTATTAACTTAAATTAAAAAATAATAAACAAATTAACACGTGCATTTCTTTAATTTAAGTATTTATTTGTGGGCAACTAGATATTCTGGGAAGATTATTAAGCATACGACACTGAGTTGCGCGAGATTGTTTGCGCAGGGGATCGTTGAACTTGGCTCCTGATAAAGAATCGATCATCGCTAAAAAGAGTCGTGTGAGATCCGTCGAGATAATAACAGCTTGTTTTCTTTACGCGAGTCTAGCTTTGACCACTGTTCGTGCCATCTGGCAGGAAGTGATAACGACTGTGACTTTCCGGGAGGATATATGACATAGACATAGTATATCTAGACTGCTGGTTCTCTCAAATTTCAGGAGTGGGGGTAGAGCTCACGTAGAAAAGGATGCACTCTGTTTCGTGTCTGTGCGTTCTCTCTCGCACACGCGAAAAGAGGGGATAAGGGGAAGCAGTTACTAACCTGTACGACAGATAGTTAGGTTAAAGGGAACGATGAATGCCACACGTGCCGCAATAACACAACAAAGCGATTAGTGTAATTAATGAAGTAAATACAGTTCGATTATGCGCGTTCTTTCATTAGTTACAATTACAAAAAAGTACAATGTACAATGTACAATGTACTGCAAAGTACAATCAATCAGCATATATATGTAGCTTGCGCGTTCTTCGTTCTCTTTAACCCACTTCAATTATACTATACGTACAGGTTAGTAACTGCTTCCCCTTATCCCCTCTTTTCGCGTGTGCGAGAGAGAACGCACAGACACGAAACAGAGTGCATCCTTTTCTACGTGAGCTCTACCCCCACTCCGCCAACCAGCAGTCTAGATATACTATGTCTATGATATATGACACTATATATTCTAGCCATATCCAGACTAATTATTAAAGATAATTTTGTGAATCATTGATTTGCTTATGTTTCAAAGACTACTCGTATTTTTCGTTTTCCATATCCTCCCACACATTAAATATAAAACAGTAGATAATTTTAAATTAAAAAAAATTTACTTTAATTTTATAAAATGATTACTAAGATATAGGTTTTACAACGAAGAAAATTGGATTTCTTAGTCCCAGTCTACAATAGAGATTTAAACCCTAAGCCTTAAGAAATTGACTAATCACAATCGCGTATTCTACTCGTACTTGACCGTGATTGGTCAATTTCTTAAAGCTTAGGGCTTAAATCCTCTATTGTAGACTGGGACTTATTTGACAAAAGCAATAAATTCACATCTCATGAAATCTTGAGTTAAATGTAGAAAATGTAACGATTTGAATTAATTTATTTAATATAATACACAGATTTACTTGAACTTTGATATTTTTATTTAAATAGATGAAATATTTACTTTAGTAAAAAAATAATTTTAAGTAAATCTGTTTACTTAGTTTAAAAACTTTTGTTGTCAGTGTAAATTTATGATTTATTATAACTCTATAAATTAAATATTTTATACATGCAGCATCGTCAAGGTTACGCTATGCCTCGGCTAACTTTAGCTTCATCCAATTTTTCTACCGGTCCCTCAGTTATTCTGTAGATGGCATTTTGCCAAGGATATGCATTTACTCATCAGGTTATTTGCGTACTTTAAACACGACGCGCTGGTGCACCTTTATGAGATTTTTATCGCGTAAATGTTTCAGTCATCGTAATAACCGAAGTATACTCACGATGTTGACATATATCTAATTGCAATTTCTTCGTTTTACAATACACACTCCTCGAGAACGTTCATTCGCGATCTGCGAACGTTTGTCTTGCGAATTAATTGTCACCTCGTGTAAGAGATAATCGCTAACAAATTTCTTTTTTCTGTTTCAGGTATGTACCTCGACAGCTTTCTTGAACGACTTAGTATACCAGCGCTAAACAAAGTGAGTAATAATATTAGTAATGCTAACACGCAAAAAGGTTGATTTACGTGCAAGTTAGACCATTAAATTGATGGAGCGTGTCGATCTGCACAAAATTTTCAGAATTGAAATATTATTCAAGCAGCTTATTCATTCATTTAACCTTTTCCAGTACGTATCGCGTCCGACTGAGAGATATATTATTTTTTTTTACATTCTAGTTTATATGCAGCGAGCACAAAATGTTGCATTTGACAAGAACATGCTTTCATTGCTATTTCTATACACGAACGTGACGTACATGCATTGCTCAGCACAACTTGCTGCACGCCTGGCTTCGTCGCCCGAAGCGATGTGCATTTTATGCGACGACGCGTATTTTACGGCACTAAAAAAACTATTACGAAACTTTGACGGTAACGACGATTGTATCGTATCGATAACGGCCTTTCCTCGAATACGTCGGACGTATCGTAAATTTCGGAATATCGTTAAGCGTATCCCGGCGCGCGCACTCCCGCTTTGAAGGTTGCGGTCACGATTTTTCGAGCACATACACATTTTGCACGTACAATTGGGTCAGGTATGAAGGCATTGAAACCCCGAAACGGTACCGTCGCGGCACCGCCGCGGCGCACGTTGTTTCTTTCCTTTTTCAAGAGGCAGTAACGAGCCGACGGAACCACTCCGGACCTTGATTCGTTCCGTGGCACTTAAGTAGCGGCTTTAACAGCCCTTAAGACAACGTTCGGTAATCCGTGTGAACGGCCATTACGGCCGTTAAATTGAACAATTGCCGCGACGATGGGATCCCGGTTAAACACCTTCAGTCTCACGCGCCTCTCTTCCCACGCGTTAAACTTAACCGACGGGTATAGCAGCCGAGACTCTTGACATCTCGCGAACCCTTTTTGTTTCTCGTATTTCAGTGTTGACTTAAGGCTTGACGTTCGGCGCTGAACGAAAGCAGGACGTGTGGATATACAATATTATTAAATTAAATTGTTATCGGGAAGGCATTTATAAATCCGTTTTTTTTTCCTTAGATGGCAAAGACGTAACGATAATTTTTTTTAAATGAAAAACTCTCACTTTTGTTGTCCGAAATACATCGACGAATTTGGTCTTGAAGATACGCTGTCACGTCGCGGAAACAATTGGAGGTGTGGTGTAATATACGAAAGAAAAACTCTTTCCTCATGTTTTATTCCATGGTCGACTGGGCGGTCCGTCGTCCGCCCCCCCTCAAGATCGATTGCTAAATACGCGTCACATACGCGGTATACCGATAGGGATGCCGCGATGTATGCTGATCCAGCGTTGAAACGACAATGAATAGAGCGTAACGCGAGTCCCCGAAGACAAACAGTGCGAGGAAGAAAAGGAGTGGACTGGCGCGGCGCGGTGTGATGAGACGCTGCCCTCCTCGTGGTTCCCAGCAAATGAATTCCGCCATGAATATGTATCGGCCGCTCGCATAACTGAATTCATACGGATACGGATCGCGTGGATGTATGTAAGCAACGCTTCGCGACGAACGGAAGCGGTGAACGGGGGATCCTTCTCGGAAACGTGGCGCGCGGGCTCTTTGTCGAACCTCGGAGATTGTCGCCGAGCATCGATCGAGGGAAAGAGGAAAACGGGACGCGGCGTGACTGAATTTTCTACGGCTTCCTTTCTTTGTACTCGGGGCAATTTTGTTTAAATCTGTAATTTGCTAGTCTCTCCCTCCCCCCCCCCCCCCCATTGTTTCAACCGAGACACGTGGTGCGACGCGTGGCATAGTACAAGGACTTGAGCAGAAAGATTGTCGCAATCGATGCCGTCGTAAGACTTGAGGCATTCCACTTTAACGGCCCAAAAACCATTATCTTTAACAAGTTTTTTCACAGTGAATACGCCATACAATGAAATAAATCTTTTGGGGATTTATTAGGGCACTCTTAAATAACACAACAAAATTTTTGTCATAATTTAAACAATTTTTTTTATTAAGCGTTTTCTACACCGTTGTTTAAATTGTGACAAACATTTTTTTGTGTTACTTAAGAGTGCCCTAATAAATCCCGAAAAGATTTATTTTATTGTATGGTGTATTTACTGTGAAAAAAATTGTAAAGATAAGCATAGTTTTTGGGCCGTTAAAATGGAATGACCACTTAAGTCGGTGTCGAAAGTCTACGCATAAAGAATCGTCGTATGTCGCCTCGCGACGCAATGCGAGGGATGCGACATACGTCTACGACAATTCTTAAGTCTTACGACGGAAGCGTAAGCGGTTACGACAATCTTTCTATTCAGGCCCTAAGGCTGGTATTACATTTGTCGTACTACACAGTTGGAAAATTTGTGTTTTCTTGTTAAAAGAAATGCCCGTTAAAATTTTTGTGTTAAATAGTTAACACATTCATGTGTTAATTTAACAGATTGCTCTTATGTTAATTGACCTTAAATGTAAAATTATTAAAATAACTGAAAAGAAATGTTAAAACAACACAATGTGTACTTATTTTGTAATCTTACACAATACACATGTTCTATATTATTAGTAACAAGATTTATCTGTTAAAATTTACAGAATGAAATGTTGATTTTATTCTATATAACATAAGAGAGTGATCTCGGATCATTTGGCTTATTACATCTGGGCCTGGATAGATCAGTTGGAAGAGCACTCGCCTGGCAAGCTGAAGATAGGTTCGAATCCTAGTCCGTTACTTTTCTCACCGAAAAATAAGTGGCGTGTCTTATTGTTAGTGCCTACCTCCCCGAAGATACATTCCTATTTATTATGAAATGTAAAAATTACATTTTTTAAATTCATTTTGTCATTAAAAATATGTTAAGTTTACACAAAATTTATGTTAAATGATTTTGAGATTTGCATTTATTTTGTGTTAAAATATTAACAGACTATTAGTGTGATCCTTTAACATATCCATATTATGTTAAATTAACACAAAAATTTGTGTGGACCGTTTGGGACATGTAATATCTGTTAAATTTAACACAAATTTTTCAACTGTGTACGTGTGTACTCGTCAAAGCTGCACTACCACACATACGATTTTTCTCTCATTGGCTTGACCAAAATAATGGCGGATGGGATCGATGCAAAACCAAACAAATGACGGAGTGGGCCTGCTATGACGTCTGACTCACGGGTTTCTGAACGGTACGCGATATGAATTACAAAATTATTCACATCTCACGTATATTATTTTATGAACTCTCGAATGGACTTTTGCCAAATGAAATGTCTCACGTTCTATCACGTAAACCATATATCAATTACGCGACGGCAATAAACATCGCCGTTAAATTGTCGAAGACTTTCAATCTGTTGAAGTGCAATTAGTATTTTTCCGCAAGTGGATTATCACGAGAAAGACCGGCGCATAAAGGTGATACGTAACACTCGTTTAGTCTAAGTTTATTATCTCGATAATAGGTCTAACAGGTGGTAGGTTTATTAGCCGAATATATCTTTCGTCTTGCGCCTTGCAGAAGTTCTTGACATTTAACGCGCTTACGTAAAGGAGAGTGAGTAACGCATTAGTTTTCATGGTTATGTCCGTCGGCTGACTGATAACTTTCCAGATCGGATTGTAGATCTTGATGCATTTCTGCAACAAATAGAATATCCGGGATTTCGCGGAGATCATTACCGGGCGAATTATGCACGAAATTTACACATCGTAAATTCACGCTCGGCTCAATCCGACGGATTTTTGTCCGTTGGTTGTCGTCGCCATTTTACAGCAAACGATGTAGTATCTCCGAGTCGAAATTTTGGCCCTATGTTGAACCTTTAATTCTATTATACAGTAGGATCTAAGATAGTGAAAGAGGGTGAATTGCAAGTACAAAGTTTACTCCTACTTTAAAACTGATAGTGTCGGAAATGTCTACTTTTGCCAATTTAGCATTAAAGTAGGTCCTTTTAAGTAGGAGCTAAAGTACGTTTTTAAAATTTAAAAACTTCAGTATTTTCTTGACTATATTTGGCATTTTTAATAACACAGAAAATTTATTGCAAAAAGTATCATCACAGCCAGGGTTTGAACCTGGACTTCCCTACACTCAAAAAAAGGAATTACTGCAATAGCCAATTTTTATTGGCTGTATAAAAGTTTTCTGCTGCAACCATTTAATTTTTGAAGCAGTAAATTGCAATGTGAATCTATGATTTCAGATAGACCAATACAACCAACTTTTAAAGCTAGTAAATAATTGGCTGCATTAGGCAATTTCTTAGCTGTGGTAGCGTTACTAAGTAGGTTGATAAGACAGTTGGCCGGGCTAGCCAACTCAAATTTGTCGTGCAAGTCACAACAGCTTGTAGCGAATAGATAGCACTAGTACCACATACTGCCGCGACGTGGCGACCGGCGCGTCTTTCTCGTAAGTAAAAATCGTCCTGTATTAGTATAAAAGGCGAGCCGAAATGATGCGAGAGCGAGTTGTCTGGATCATGGATAGACCTCAATAACCTGAATATACTTTTGATGACTATGTGATTGTACCACAATTTAACAATTAGTTACAAAGTAAATTTTTTAATAGGAAGCCTATTGATACCCCACCCCATATTAAAAACTGTCAGGGCTGCCTGAACCCTACTACTGCTCGGGATAATGGTTGGAGTAGCCAATTTACAAACCGCTGTAAAGTAGGCAGTTGGTTGGAGCAGCAAAGTCATGTATTAACTCCAGCCAAGTTTATAACAGCTTTAAAAATTGGCTACTGCAACCAACAAAAATGCTATGCCATATTTGACTATTTAAATTGGCTGACGCAGCCAGTTCTAGGCTACAGCAGCCAATTCTTTTTTTGAGTGTACACTCTAGCCGAGACGCTCGGCAATTTTTAGCAATATTTTTCGCAATAAATTTTCTGTATTATTAAAAATGCCAGACATGGTCAAGAAAATATTGAAGTTGTTAATTATTGCTGGCGACTTGAAGACTATTCTTATTTTTAGAATTAAAGTTTCAAGGGAGGAGTAAAAAATCTAATGTCATCAAAGTAGGTTATTGCTGGTCGATGTGGGTGTAGAGATCAGCTAGGTGTAAATTATCCTCTAAAGTGTCAAAATAGTACCAAAATTTCGACTCGGGTCTAATCACTGCAGCGGATAAAGTACGAGACGTTTCGCCACGACGGCGAAAGAAAATATCCGTGGAGACATTAACTTTTGAGTGAAGAAAAGCAGTGAATACATATATGAGATATTGCTAAATTATCGCACTTTCTCTTAACCGTATGTTCTAAAGGATAAGACCATTAGAAAGAATGGCAATCATTTTCACGTTGAAAGATCTCGTTAGGCTTAATAGATAATAATACCTTGGTTTCTAATTTTAATTAGATTTTTATGAAAGATGTTCGGCGTTTTATTCGTTATGATATTTAATACTGAAAAGATTTACCATAATGGCAGAGATTGTATTGATCTACGCACTCTGCATAACATTCCATTGCTGCGTCTATTCTCTTGAAAATGAAAGACGGTGGTCCGCCTCCATCGTTTCTGTAGCCAATGAGGATTGGAGAGAGGCGATACTGGCATATAATGATTTGCAACATCATCTATCGAAAGTATCTCATATTTAATGTCATGTAGCGCGGCGCTGCTCGGCGATAAACCAGCGTCACATTATATCTAAGCTATTAATTATCCGTTGAGCTTATTATACTCTGATTGTACAATAAGGAATATCGTACAATTGAAGTACGATCTTTCACTTAATATTTATCTGTCGCGCCGAGCAGCACCGTGAAATTGTTAATATCTCTTAAATTCATGTACCGGGGAAAGTGATAAGAGATAGGACGTGTAATGTACCATAGACGATCGCGCGAACAAAGTGCGGCTCGATATTTCGCGGTTTTCTACTTTACAGCCTCTCCAGCTACGAGAGCGGCAGGCGGAGTAGATGTTGACGACAGTTCCCAAATTGTCAGTTTTGCCATTTGTTCGCGGACGGCGCGGCCGCGCCGGTACGCGAGGACCCTTTCGAGTCAACCTTCGTCGGGGTCGCAGGGTCGACGATGTCGTGTCTCTGTTTTGCAACGCGTAATTACCGACAAGGAGCAGCGGGCACGCCGTGCGGGCCGGGTGCACGGCCGAGCGAGCGCACGCGGCATTAGACGGATTTTTTATGCGAACGCGTAACGAACGGCGTTTTGCATATTCCATGGTGAGCAGCAGCAGCAGCCGCCGCCGCGAGCGCACTATGTGTCTTCGTTCGGATGTTATATACGCTGTACGCTGCCGTTGCTCCTGATGCTGCCTCTGCTGCTGCTGCTGCTGCTGCTTCGTCACGCGCGACGAACTGGAAAGTGATAGTTCGCGGTCTTAAAGATACGGCCGATCGTCGCTTATGATCGGGATGATCGATGCGAAACGCGCGCCCGAACGTGCACGAGGCTCGAGGAATACGCACGTCGTCGCGCTTCGATCGTTCTCTGATTGAAGACGTTAGTGATATACCGTGGAGCGTGGTGAATGGAGCCATTTTTTAAACTCACAGTTTGATACCTTCGCGATCATTTCTTTCCGATCGGTAGCGTATCGCGGATCTTCGTCGCCGTTCCGCGTGGAGCCGTACAAATTTCAATGTGATTCTCTGGAGGAAAGTCCTCTATTACGAGATAGGCTCGTAGGGTTTTCGCCA